TTCCATCTTTGCCACCCACTGGCTTACATGTCCCCACTCCCACCACTCTATGACCTTGTTGAGACCCCCAATCCACTGACCCCTTCATTGTCTCACTACCCAAGTGGTCCCCCACATTCACTGTCCTTACTCTAGTTAAGTGGCGTGTACTGTCGTGACGATCTGCTAGAAGTTCAGTGTCACCCTGTACCCCTTGCCCTCCCGTGCCTGCACACACCCATTGCTTCTTATTGCAAGCACCTCCAGCCAGAGCCTCACTGACCGTTGTTGGTACCTCTTGCACGCTATGGACTGACCTGTGCCCTCCCAAATTTCCTGTGTTGGAGCTCCAACCCCCAGTGCGAGTATATTCAGAGACAGGGCTTTAGAGGGGTAATCATGGTTAATTACGGTCATGGGATGGACTCCTATCTGATAGGATGGTGGCCTTATAAGAGGAACAAGAGCGCTCTCTGCACTGAGGAAAGGCCATGTGAGGCCACAGAGAGAAGGCAGGCCTCTGTAAGCCAGGAAGCAGGCTCTCCCCAGACGCAGATCGGTCACATCTCCACCTCAGACTCTCCAGCCTCCAGAACCGTGAGAAACTTGCCAAAGCCACCTGGTCTGTGCTATTATCTGGTGGCAGCCCACCCAGCCTCAGACACTCCATTAGAAAACATATTAATAATGATATTTTATGACTGCATTGGTGTAAAGATATACTGATATTGTATATTAAAACATTTTCTTCTTCAGCCTTAAAGTTCATTTTTCCTCCTAATTGAAAAAAAGAAACATTTTCATGAGCCCTAAAGTTCTTGGGTCCTGAGTAGTCTTCCTGTCAAGCCGGCTGGATAAATTGGTGCTGTCACCAGCGCCCAGCTGGGGGTTTTCTCGGACCACAGCAGGGACCTTGGCTGCAGGCAGCTAATGCTCCAAAGAGCAGCCCCAACTAATAATGGGGGGCTGTAGATGGAGAGTGCAGGCAGGGCCCATCGGAGGCATGTTCCATTCCGTGAGAGCTCCCGGAGGCCTGCAGCAGATGGGAGCCCAGCTGCCCGCAGTGGACACCTGCTATGGGCACACCTTGGGCTGGCTTTCTTCCCTTCCTAGTTCGCTTCCCCACTTCCCTACTTGTGCTTCGTGGTGTCACCTCCCAAATAAATACTCGTGTTACTTTTCTCAAATCCTTGTCTGAGGGTCTGCTTAGGGGGCACCCAATCTCAAATACAACCATTCTCTAGCAAACACAGTTTGCTCTAGAAAACTCTCCTAACCAGCTTCCACTGAACAAAAAGTGCCTGGGGTAGCCAATCTGCTTTCCTGCTCTGAATGGGACCACCGGATGTTGTCAACACCTGCATGCTCTCGGATCGGGGTGCGGGCTGCTTTCCGGGACCCTGACTACCTCTGCTCGCATCTCTGCTCCCAGAGGATGGACTGTGTGCTTACCAGAAGTTGGGTGTGGTGGTCCCAAATCTGTAGGCTCAAGTTTTATTTTTTATTATAATGGTGGTGTTTTATTAAATAAGGTTTAAGCCAAAGAAATATAAATGTAAAAAGAAAAAATTGCTGTTTCTATGAAAACTAGTTGACTATGTGGCTAAGACTAAGTAGACAAGTTGCTAAAAAGGCTATCAGTCAAATGAGAGGGGGGTTACCATCTGTAAGAGGTTGGAGAAAATGGCAAAAATCTAGAAGGCGTCAGAGCCACACTGTTTCAGAATATTTAGGATCTCTTTCCACTTAAAAGTCAAATGAAACTAGAAATTGCAGGTGATGCGCCGTGAATGTGGTAGGCGTTGCGGGAAGGGAGTGTGGGTCGCCTGTGTTCTTAGGTTTCCAAACCCATTGTCCTCTCTCCCCAAGATCTAGGTCAGGGAAGGATGCATCTCAGACTCAGACCCATGTCTAGCTGTTACTCTCTCCCCTCTCCCCCAGCCTGGAGAACTGTCATCTCCCCCAAAGGTAAAACCAGCTCAACCAGCAATTATCAGAATCTATCATTAGGCCATGACCTCAGCAGATAAAACCTCCAAGCCAGATTCCTCCTCTCCCTGAGGCCCCCGTCTAAACCGCGGCAGGAAGGAGGGATAAAAGAGAATTTCAGGCAAGCATCACCCACCTACTTAACGTAGCCTGGCCCTCAGCAGGACCCTGTCTAACTCTCCCCCAGAATGTGGGCCCACTCTGTAGCCTTCTGCAGGTTCTTTACTATGAATGCCCCAGAGACAAACAGCCTGCCAGCACCCCACATCTGTCTGACACAGTCGGGACATGGCCCATGCTCCGTCCATACCACTGTGCAGGCCACCGAGTGAGTAAGGAAATCCACTTCTGCCCAGGCCTTCCATGCCCCTGTGATCTTAGCAGGCTTTCATTTCACAGGGGGACGTTTTCCTGACCTTGCTATAAAATGTCTCACTGCAGGCCCTCAAGAGAGACTGTACTCTGAGGGTCCTGGGACAGCCCCAGAATCTGCAGACAGCAAGAAGGGTGCAGAAAGGAGGAGGGTGTAGGAAGAGAAGGCAGTGGTTCCTGAGTCCCAGCTTTCTCAAGCTCCTCTGTGTTCTCAGCCTTCAGGTTCACAGGAAGGACGGAAGAGAAAGGGGTACAGTGCGCAGGGGCTGATGGGAATCCTGGATACCTCGCTCCAGAGGGGCTGAAACAACCAGGGCCAGGGTGCCATCTGTTGCTGGGGGCAGGAGATGGAAGCAGGACCTCGCTATCCGGGGCAGGTCCCCAGCATCAATAGGCAAGGGACTAAACCTGTGATGAGCATTCGTTCTGGGCCAGGCTGGACTAACTCAGCTGCCCCTCCTGGCACCCTGAAGCTGGGGTGCATCAGTCCACAAAGCTAGAGGTGCCCACCTGCTGTGGTCAGGCACAGCCAGGCAACTTCCCCTGTCCATCACCCTTAGCCTAGATGAGGTCTGAAGAGGCCTCTGCTGTTGTCTGCCACCTCAGCTCCTTGGGGGTTCACTCATGGCCCAGCGATCAAGCTGTCAGCTTCTTTTTGGGGTCTGCTGCCCACTGGAACATAAGCTCCATGAGAGCAAATCTCACATCTGCCTGCCTTGTTTGGTGGTCTGGCCCCAAAGCCCAGCCAGGCTCCTGGCACCCAGTCCATGTTCAGGAAATCCCTGCCAAGGGTCCTCTGCAAGGGCCACCGGCAACACCCGGTGCTCCCAGCTGCTTCGGGGGGCTAGAGGAGCCAGCTTTCGTTTCTTTTTGTGGGGCTGTATTAACCTTTCTGGAAACTCTGGCTGTCTGACCAAATACACAGCACACTTGGAACTTGCTGTGTAGAGATTCTTTGAAATTTTCCCAATACTATCATAAAAATTAAAAATTCATCTCGTGAAAAATAAAAGGCAAGTGTAACTAACAGGAAGGTTGGCTCCGGAGCCTGAAGTGGATAAGGAAGGACTTGGGGCTCCACAGGAGGGCCTTCCTGCTGCCCCCCTGTGCAGGGGCTGCACCTGGGCCCCTTACCTGGACACCCCCAGTCAGTACACTTCTTCCTGTCCCCATATACTGGGGACGGGCCCCAGCTGAGCCCTGGCTCTTTGCCCTACCTTGTGGGGTGCTTTGCATGGGGCTGTCTCACAAGCTTAATTTGCATTCCAGCTTCAGCTCTGTGGCCTCCAAAGAATAGATTGCTGGGCTCTCTTGCTTAGGTCACAAAGTTAGGTCTCCTTGACCGAGCCTACCTCCTTCTTAGGAGCTGGTGACAGCACCAAAAATCACATACCCTAAAGGCGATGGATACGCAGGGCAGCACGTGCTGTTGACACTCCACGCCAGGGGCAGATTGTGTAACTTGCACTAAAATTCATGCAGAGCCCATAGTTCTGTGACCCCCATCAATCATCTCACTAAAATAATTTCATGAAGCTCAACTGGGAGTTGGAGTTGATCGTTGAACAAAACACATAAATGTGTACACTGAGCGGGTCCACACACAACGGCAACACGTGACTACGTATGCCCAAACCCTGAGAACACTCAGGTCACTGGAACCTCACGTAACTAGAGATTTGAGGTCTACTTTCGCACTGTGTAATGGCTTCATGCTGAGCAGCTTATACTTCCCTAGCCCTTGACTTTGGGCTTGAACCTGAGACTTGCTCTGGCTACCTGGGTATTGTTATCAGACCGAATAAACACAGATCCGGGAATGTGGTCAACTCTCATTCTGGCGATCCGTCCTGAGAAGAACACGCTTCCCTGTCAGCCTGGGCCCCAGAGGGAGCCATGTGGAGCAGACCACATACCCGGGTAGCCATTAGTCCAGGTAGGATGCTGGACATGTGGCTTCCCTAATCCCGAACTGTAGCCTGGACCCTGAAGCCCAGAGCCAGGAGCCAGAAGTCCAAGCCAGCCCAGCTGAGTAGCAGATGACCTGAAGACCAACAGGAATGACACTAACTGATTGTCATTTCAGGCTACTGAATTTTGGGATGGTTTGTTTTGCAGCATTATTGTGGCAATAACTGACTGCTACATTATCCAAACTCCTACAGAGTTTACACAGACACTCAGATCACACACAGGCACTTGTGTGAAATACTCACATACAAAACACACACATGCACTCCCCTTTGCAGTGAACATAAAAGGCCACTGTCTCGGGAGCTAGGTGGTCCCCCTGCTGGCGTGTGGTCCTCTTTCTCTGATGCTTCCAGAGCCACCGTCCAGGCACCCCTGGGTCTTTCAGGGGTCAATTTTGCCTTTAGCATCCATCACCTTGCAGCTCAGAACTCTACTCTTTATCTTGCCAAGTTGTTCTCAAGTCCTTTCTGCCAGAAGAGTGTTGCTTTTGAAGCCCTGGCAGCTTACTATTTTTTTTCCTTTCCTACCCCAGTTGTTGAACGCCTGTCAGACTTGTGACATCCTATTCTCCCAAGGGAAAAATTACAGCGGGGATGTATGCAAATGAATTCTCGGAATGTGTGTCTTTCATGTCCTTGCTGTTGGCGGCCCCTCTGTCGAGTCTGCTTTTCCGACTGCCACCACAGCTGCTCCAGCATTGAGCTGTAAACCAATCCATCCTTTCATCAGAGGGGAACAGGTGCCCCTGCTCCTGGTCACAGCCAGCGGAAGAAGAAAGTCAGGGCTGGAAAAGGCCTGGCCCCTCCCTCATCTCCTCTGCAAGCTGGCTGGGGACAGGTAGGCCTCCCACACTCCTGATGCCCCAGCTCAAGCACACGGGAGCAGGGTCATGTTGGGCAAGCCTTGTGGGGAGGCCTGAGAAAGCCCATCGGCCTCACAGAGACCCCTTCTCAGGCCCCACCCTGCTAAGGAGGATTGGATGCTGTCTATACAGGGAGCTGCATCCTACTTCACTTGGGAAGAATTTGTTGATTTGACTTTGTGCCGGGCCCAGGTGGGGGACACCTGTGGAAACAAGCCATGACAATCTGTGTGGTAAGGGCAGGTGGGCACACTCTTCCCACCCAACCCAGGAAGTTCAGGGAGGGCCACTCTGCAAGATGATTTGCAACTTGAATCTTAAGGGATGAGTAACAATCTCTAGGTGAATCAAGGGGAAGGGCATTCCAGGGAGAGGGGGTGGCACGTGTGCACAGCACGAGGGATGCGGGTCTGACGTGTCTGAGGGACTGAAAGGAGCTCAGAGCAGGGTGAACCCAGGGTGACGAGGGAGAGACCGCGGGAGCACCGTTACGCCCCCTCCGGAGCCACACTAATAGGTTTCAACGTGTCCAGTTGGCAGTGGAAATGAAAATAGAAGCAGAAAGCTTTCCGGGAGGGAGAGGCAGAGGGGGCCTACTGGTGAGCCAGCGAACACCTTCGCCCTCTTCACTGCTTCTCCCTCTCCCTGACCCTTGGCATCATGAACATCACATGCTGAGAGTGGAGACTTCAATGCCTACGGGGACTTGCCCCCCACCCCTCCTTGACCAGCACCTTCACCCAGGGCCTTATCAGCTCAAAAGGCCCCCTTCTGGGGGGACTGGCCGCAGGCCCTGGTGCCCATCTCCCTTTGGAACCTGCCTCCTCCTCGGGCTGCCAGCAAGTATTTTTTGAGCAGCACAGCACCCCAGAGCCATGGGTGTTGGGGCTATAAGTACCAGACAGCACAGAGGGGGTCTCTGGCCTCTTGGATAGAATCTTCCCCCCAAGGAAGGCAGGTGTAAAGCAAACTGCTGCACAATCAGCAATGCACCTACCTGGAGGGAGGGGCGACGGAGACCTGTGTGCCGGAGCAGCACCTGCAGGAAGCTGGCCCTGAGCAAAGAATGTTCCAGCTGAGGCTCAGAGGCTGCCTGGGAGCCATGCAGAGCACAGGCAGCTTGTGATGGGAAGGAGTGGAGAAGGACAGCCACAGTGCAAAACCAGACTGGTGGGAGACAGCAGGCGCAGGGCATGGGGGGTGTCTGAGGCATGTGAAGTACCAGGTTCTCCCAAAGAGCAAGAAAAATGCACTGTAGTGGGTTGAATTGTGGCCTCCAAAAGTTATGTCCACCCAGAACCTCGGAATGTGAGCATATTTGCAATAAGGGTCTTTGCAGATGTAGTTCACATAAGGATCTCGAGATGAGATCAGCCTGGATTAGGGTGGCCCCACATCCAGGGATGGGTGTCCTTATGAGAGACAGAAAAGGAGACACAGAGACACATGGAGAGGGCCACGAGGATGGAGGCAGAGACCAGAGGGACGCCAGGAGCCACCCAAAGGTGGAAGAGGTGAGGGAGGATCCTCCCCTTCAGAAAGGGTGCAGCCCTGCCCACACCTCCATCTGGGACTTCTGGGCTCCGGAACTAGGAAAGAGTAAAGTTCTGTTGTTTGAAGCTCCCTGGTTGTGAAAACTGGTTACAGAAACCACAGGAAACTCCTACAGTCATCAGATTTTGAACCACAGTGGTGGTACACACAAGGGGATGAGCGGAACATGTGCAAGCACTGCCAGCCTCTGTGCAGGTCCCACAGCCAGGAAATCTCAGCGGACTGCCCGGTGTCCTGATCCCATCAGGCAGGCATCCAGGAGAGCCAGGCAGTCTGGAGGCCTCAGTGGGACAAGTCAAGAATGCCTCCGGGCTCAGTTTCTCCATCTGTGAAATGGGCACACTGACGTCTGCCAGGCCTGTGGCGTGGTATCTCCCTTCTGACCCGCCTGCCTCTTCCCCGTTTGCCCCTCCTCGTAGTCTGGGCCCTGGCATCTCACTCCCCCAGACCTCACCTGAAATGCCTCTCCTGCCTCCAGACCACAAGCCCCAGATCCATTAGAGTCTGGTCACTTTCCTAGTTAGAAATGATTGAATTCCACAGCATAGTTATTTTAAAAATAAAAACAAACCAACCACAAGTATGCGGCAGCAGCAATATATTTCATCCTGCCCCTCATTTCCTGAAAAGCTTTCATTACTGTTTCCAAAAATACATGCCCTTGGCTCATTAAATGTCCAAGGCAAAATGGGGAGAGAGTCTCTAGGCCCTTAGTCCCCGGCTGCACGGGGCTGTCATTCCGTCCCAGGTCTGCTGTGGGTGGCGGGGAAGTGGGTCTGTTTACAGGGCCATTTGCGCATGGCAGCCTGTCCAGGAAGTACTGATTTTTAAAGCAATCTCACCAAAGAGACAGCTCCGGTGGGCTTGCCGATGGGGAGGCACTGAAGTTCTTGTGAAAGCATAAGTTTTCATCACTCTGAAGGATTGAATGTATGATATATGATAATTATTGGAATACTGAAATTAAGGAAAAGAACATAATCCTACTGTTATTTTTATTTTTTGATACATAGCTTCCAGTCAATTTTTTATACCTACCCAGGCACAGATATTTTAAAGAAAGACTGAGATTCTCCTGCCCTTCTGTTTTGTTACTTTCCAGAAACAGTGATTTTTTTTCTTGCAACATTGTCAGTGACTGGATAGGGCTCCACTGTAGACGTGCTCTTTAATTGATATAACCTGCTCCAATTGTTGGCTTTCAATGTATTTTTTATAAAGTCTCACTACTGTAAACAATGTTGAGCAAGTGTCCTTATAGATCCATCTCTAAACACATACTGAATTCTTTCTTTTGGGTAAATTCCTAGAAGAATGATTGGGTCAGAGGGTAAGGACATTTTAAAGGCTTTAGTAAGGGTGGCCAAATTGCCCTCCAGAAAGACTAGAACAGCTTGTCCTCCAACCAGCTCTGAGAGTGAGAACATCTATTTAAATATTTGCCATGTTCTTGGCTCTATCTTAAAAAAAAAAAAAAACTCCCTCCAGGAGCCCTAGAAGGTTAATGAATGTATTAATTTCTTGTGGATAAATCATTTGTGCAATCAAACATCCCTAGAAACATTATAACATCTCAGAATTGTGTCAGGGTCCCAGTAAACAATGGGCAGGTGAAATCAGGTGTAAGAGGTCTAATGTTTTTCCCACAAACCTGGCCACACTTGAGAGATTATTATTGGGTTTGGGGACCATGCCAGTTTGGGGACCCTGCTGGGGATCTCCCAGGTTTCTACAGTGTTGGTCACATTTGTGGACCCAATTAGCAGAGGCCTGTTCCAGCCCTGCAATGACCCACTGACTGGCTGGGCCTGCCTAGGAACAAAGAGGTCTAACCCAAACCCCAGTAAGGGGCACCTAGAGATGACACACAGGGCTGTCCCTAGGGCGTCGGGCCCTGGGCAAATACTGTTTTCAGGCTTCTATATATATAAACTATTTGAGTCACCCAAAATCAGTAACCCAATCTCACATAATCCTGAAAAAAATAAATACCAACCAGAAATGCAAATCAAAACCACAATGAGCTATCATCACCTCACACTTGTTAGAAGGACCATCATCAAAAAGACAAGAAAAAAAAAAAAAGACAAGAAATAAATGCCGGTGAGGATGCAGAGAAAAGGGTGCCCTTGTATGCTGTTGTAAATTGGTGCAGCTGCTACAGAAAACATCATGGAGGCTTGTCAAAAATATAAAAATTGAACTACCGTATGATCCAGCAATCCAACTTCTGGGTATATATCCAAAGGAAATGAAATCAGGATCTCAAAGAACTGTCTGTATTCGCATGTTCACCACAGCATTACTCACAATAGCCAAGATACGGAAACAACCTAAGTGTCCATCAACAAATGAATGCGTAAAGAAGATGTGGTACATACATAAAATGCAATACTATTCAGCCATGAGAAAGAAGGAAATCCTGCCATTTGTGACAACATGGATGGACCTTGAGGGCGTTATGCTAAGTGAATTAAGTCAGACAGAGAAAGACAAATACTGTATGATCTCACTTATGTGTGGAATCCAAAAAGGCCACACTCAGTGAAACAGAGTAGAGTGGTGGTCGCCAGGGGCTGGGGCTGGGGAGAGGGGGAGATGCTGGTCCTAAGCACTATGGTGGGGGCGGTATCGGTGATGCATGGCGGGATGCAAGGACCGGGGGATATCGTGGTGGGGGGAGCATGTGGGGCAGGGGGAGCATTTGAGGCAGGCCCTGAAGAATGGATGGCGTTTGTCAGGTGGAAAGAGGCGCCAGCACTCCACCTCCACCCACAGAAGATGCTGAGAACACAGGAACCGCGGGAGCCGCAGAAGCCACTGCCGTCCGTGGACTGGGCACCAGGGAGCCTAGACTTTCTCTGTGGGCGGAGGGGCACCTGAGTGGGGCCAGTGATGACTTTTGAGGACAGGAGAGATGTAAAGAAATTTTCTCTCAATCCAAGATGGGATATTTTTGCAAAATCTAAGCAATATAAATGGTAGAATTCCACATTTACATAAGAGCCCTCTAAAAGTACTCCAGAAAAAGTGACAATATTCCATCTTTTTCTATAGTTCATGAGAACTGGTAATAAACCATGACCAAGCCTAGGCTAAGACTATTTTGCTTGAAGGTTTTTCTGGAGACTGTTGTTTTTAAACATATTTTGTCTTCTCCATCTCCAGAGGGAAAACAGCTAGGAAAAGACCTCCCTGGGGGCCTATGCCCTTTACCCCAAACTCTAAGGCTACTCTGGGGCTCACAAAGATTTCCTGTTCCAACAGAACATCAGTATTGGCTGTATTGAAGCAGGGGCTGGTTCCAAACTGTAAAATCCCAAAGCCCTTGGGCCGGAGGAAGAAATGAGGGGCCACACAGAGCGCTGACAGGGGCTGGTGGCTGCAGACAGGAGAAAATCAGACCCCACTGCATCAGAAT